GCCATGGTCTTTTTCAATACTGATAATGTCACAACAATATTGGGTTAGATATGAACTAGGTCAGAGCAATTGTACAGCACTTGCCTTGTATGTGGCTGTCATGGGGTTGATTCCTTGGCACTTCATATGGTCCCCCAAGCCTACTGAAGTGATCACTGAGCACAGGGCCAGGAGTAAGCCCTGAGCATTGCAAATTGGACCTCAAGCCCCCAAATAAGTAACTAAATACGAACCAGTTTAGTCTGTGAGCATTCAAGACAATTTTCAAAGTCCTTGCACACATACGTCTGTACAAATAATCAAGATTGAACCATGTATACCCATAAAGGTCACAGTAACTGTCACTGTCCTCCTGTTGTTCATCGATTTCCTTGAGCGGGCCCAGTAACATTGTGAGACTTGTTACTGTGTTTGGCATATCAAATACATCATGGGTAGCTTGCCAGGCTTTGCCGTGAGGGCGAGATAACTCTCGGTAGCTTGCTGGGCTCTCTGAGGGGGGTGGAGGAATCAAACTCGGGTTGGCCGTGTCAGCTGCAAGCCAGGCAAATGCCCTACACCCATAAAGGTAGTCCTTTCCTTTTTTTGAAAGGGATTTGGAACTAATTTTATCACCCACTGAATTTAATATTTGTATTTGGCTTCATAGAGAGATTAAGACATTTCATAGTTCGCAACATACACACACACACACACACACACACACACACACACACACATACACACAACTTCTCAGTCACGGAATGTCCATCAATCTGAAATCCAAATTGATTTGGCATCCTTGTACCCCAGCTTCCTGGCTGCCCAATGCTGCTTTCTTTGATGAGTTTACAAATTTCAGACTCTGACCAAGCTGCCACTTCCCTGAAACCTGTCCCCAGGGGGTATTCTTTGACAGTGAGTTGCAAACCTCAGGAGAGAGATACATGTGTTATGGGTGCAGGGGCCATGTCCTGCCACCTTCCCCCAGAAAGATTGTGTCTTCTGGGGGTACAGAAGCAGTGGGAAAAAGCCCAATGCTGGTATCTCTTCTTGGTGCCATTACATTGCAGCTAAAAATTGAGTCTGGAGGGTGTAGTTAGCATGGAAATGAGGACATGCTTCCAATCAGCGCCCCATCTGAGTCCTCCACTGGCCACACTCCTATTATTAAGCTTTTAACAAGTTAAGGGGGCCCTTTCATTTTCTATAAAATGACAAGGGCCCTTTTTTTGCTCAAGGTGCTCTGATCCTGCTGCCTCAGGTGAGGCGTTGCCTGACCAGACACTAAGGCGACCTTCGTCAGCAGCTGTTCGCTCCCTAGCAGTTGGGTACACTATGGAATTCTCAACTGCCCATGTGTGGGGCTTGGCAAACTTCATCTGCCAGAGTTCCTTTTTTTGAGCTCCAATTCCAGAAGTGCTATGAAGATCCACCTCGCAAGTCTCCTGGGAAAACTCAGAGCCGATTTCCAGTTCCAGCCCGGCCTTGACGCTGCCCTAGCGGGGTTGGGGTCGGGAAAGGTCACAGAGTTCAATTATTTTAAAACAGGTACTTGCTGCATGTGACCCCATGCTTAACGAGGTAGAAAAATTAATCAAGGCTTTGCGTTCTTGAAGAAAACAGGAAAAGGAGGAATATCAACAGAGACCCAATTTCAAGTATTGGGGTCTATGGATTTGAGGGAAAACATCTTTCCAGAATTCCCTATGCACCTAGATATTAAAGGAATCTATATTTGGTAATCAAAGCTTTGTTTCGTAGGGGACAATGGGCCTCCCCGAAGATGAATTTAGTATAGTTGCTTGAAATAGCTGCATCAATGGGTTGGATTAACTATGGAAACAAAGGCAGAGCTAACTCAATAAACCCACCCCTAGAAGCCACTTGTAATTCTCCAGTCCTGGCCAAATCCCAGCAAGGACTGTCCAGGAGAATGGTGATGCCTGAGAATTGGTCAACAAAAGAGAAAAGACAGCAGGAACGACACGGTCTAGCCATCAGGCACCTGAGCATCCTGTTCGACGACCCCTCTATTGGGGATACATTGGTTTTCCAGCAATCACAACTCAAGGAGAGGGTGGCTGGGGAGGGGACGATGATGGACCCAGCCCAGCACCTTCAGATCACACTGCAGTCAGGCTTGGCACAAGCAGAAACCAGGTGCCTCCTGAGAAACGCCAGCAGTTGGTTCTGCTGTTGGTGCATGGGAGAGCACCCTCAGACAGAGAGGGCACAGGGGGCTACACAGCTCAGCATGGCTCAGGGCCCCACAGCATGACACACAACCACATCTTATAGTGCTTCTAGAAAGCAAGCGCAGAGAATATGCAAGCAGACAGGTGCATACTGTGAAACGTAAGAGCAGGTGGAAAACCTTTGGCTCCAACTCTGCTCAGCAAGTGACGGTGCTTTTCCAGGATGGAGGGTCCATAAGATGATGCAGTTACAGATGCAGATGCAGTGCAGTTACATCTTGGAGTGGCTGGGTGCAGGTCAGAAGGCAGAGAACAAATCCCGGGTCCTGCTTATCACCTCCGCTCTACAGAGGAGAGCCATGGGAGCAGAGGAGCAACGGGAACTGACTATTCCTGAAAACGGAGCAATTTCAGGAGCAATCTATGGATTGCAGAACAACAAAATCGGTTTCAGCTATGGAAAGTGGCCTGGATGACACTCCAAAGTAACTCAGAAACCTAAGTGCAAGACTAAAAACCAGGGAGCAAGGCTATCGCTACAGGCAATGGTTTTCGAAGCACCCACTGTTAGGAGAGCCTGGAACTTAAAAGTTTCTAAGTGAAAAAAAAAATTGCACGTTCTTCTCTAGAGCATGTAGATGTAACATTATCCTGGAAAAAGGTTTTTCTGAGCCAGAGAGATAGTACAGCAGATACGGTGCTTGCCTTGCATGCAACTGACCTGGGTTCCACCCCTGGCACCATCTATGGTCCCTCATCTCATCAGGAGGGATCCCTGTGGAGAGTTAGGAGTAAGTCCCGAGCACAGTGTGCCTCCCACAAAGGACCAGGTTGCTAGGTGGAAAGACCAGTCACCAGAACAGATTTTGTCTTTCACTAGGAGTTTAAATCTCTACATAAGTACCAGTGGGCTGGAGTGATAGCACAGCTGGTAGGCCATTTGCCTTGCACGTGGCTGACCTGGGGTGGATTTCTCCACCCCTCTAGGAGAGCCCAGCAAGCTACCGAGAGTATCCCGCCCGCATGGCAGAGCCTGGCAAGCTCCCTGTGGTGTATTCGATATGCCAAAAACAGTAACAAATCTCACAATGGAGACGCTACTGGTGCCCGCTCGAGCAACGGGAGGACAGTGCTACATAAGTACCAATATTCTAGAAGACGATTTTCACCATCAACCCCAACTTCACAAAATTGCTAAAGAAAAGTTTCTTGGGGGGAGGAGGGGAGGCTAGAGAGATAGCACAGCCAGTGAGGGGCTTGCTTTGCATGTGGCTACCAGGTTCAATGCACACATGGCCCCAAGCATTGCCACGAGGGATCCCTAAGCCCTGAGCACTGCTTGTATGTGGCATAATGTCCCACCCCTCCCCCTCCTCAGCCCAAAGTTAGTTTTTAACTGACCTCCAATGCACTGATGTGTTCCTAAACATCAAACAGAAGTGACAACTACCCCCATGAGGGGTGGGTCCATTGACTGCAACAAGGCATGGAACTGGAAGCCAGGCCTCGCCTGTCTGCCACGGACCTCTGCCTGCAGCAAAAGACGCTGGAGGCTGGTGGAATACAGCCTTCCCGACTCTAGAGCAGCTGTTTAGATTTCACTGTTAGTAATAACTGAAATAGGACTTTAACGGACAACAACTCATTTCATAAATGCTATCAACATTTTCCACTGAAGGAGACAGCGTTGTCTGGCTATTTACAGTAGGAAAATCATTTGGAATCGTTTAAGAAATGTATCTACTTGGGAAAATGCATGTGCTGCAGAAACTACTTTTAAGGAAGGAAAGTGTTATTCTACTATTTTTTTTTATAATCAAAAAAATTCTGAGAAAAACTCAGAGACTTCAAGAGAAGTAAAACTCAAGAATGAATACTGTAGTACAAAATTATGGCCAAAAATACTGTATTTTTAACCAGCAAGATCATTGGGGTATTATTATACAACATTAGATTTTTTTTTTTGCAAAACTAGTTCCCATCCCCAAACAATAGACAATACATGCATTTGAATGACATTTTAAGAACAGTAAATATGATTCTTTTAAATACTGCAAGTTAAAAATGTTTTCTGACAAAACTCCCTAAGTACATTGGTCTAATAAGGGTTTCCAACAGGACAGGTGAGGAATCCAGCAAAAGCTGCGTTTATTAAGTTCTTTGAGGAAAAAAAATCCACCCAAACCATATTTCAGTCCAAGTGACCTACAAAGTTACATAGAAATTTTCCATTTTATTTCCCCCTAAATTTTAAAATATTCTACTCAAGAACACCTTCCTCCCTGTTATTATATATATGTATATATATACATATATATATATATATATAATTCCTCACTTCTACCACGGCTAATATAAGTCAGAATTCCTTTATGCAAGACAGATCCAATTTTACCCAATAGTCACTTTTATAACCTATATGTAATTTACTATTGGGTTAGAACCATATGGGGACACACACAATCAATGCGGGCATAGTGAAAGAAACCAATAGTTGAGCACCTACTATGTGCCAGGTGAACAGGTGATTTCAGAGGCAAGAGTGTTACTGAAAGGGCGCTAGCAATTGGGTAGACAGCAGGAAATGTGATGCTACTCAGTGAGAAAAACAAACAAGTTTAGACTCTGGACTACATTTCTACTAAACAGCAGGTGTCTTGGCTCTGAAAATCTCTAGCTAATCATATACAGCTAAGTCATTTCTTTCCCTAATTTGTTGAAACCGAATGAAATCCCAAAGACATAGTTACCAGGAGAGATCTATTTACGCTACATATGCTGGAAATATGTAGAGACAAGATACAGTATTACTAGTTTTAACTGTGTGTGTGTGTGTGTGTGTGTGTGTTTGCATCTTGAACCAAAGAGACATCTCTGGAAGAAAACAATGGATACCAAGCACACCTTATTTGTATCAACTGAGATGTTGTCAATGACCAATTAAGTGGTTTGAAACCCTTATTTAATTTTAAGAAGAGCAGCAATATACATTACAATATTTGGGTACACTTTATTTTTATATGGGTTAACATTCTGCTATATTTCATTCGTTCTTTTTGAGAAACTGAAAACAAAGGGAAATTAAAGGGTAATTTGAAGGCTGTTTCCAACCAATTTCTGAGTCTTGCAGTATCTCATTATGCAGCCCTTTCTTCCCATTATTTATTTATTTTTTTTGCAAAGAAGTCACTTTGACCCAAATCTAGCATAAATAGCTTTTCATCCATTCCTAACTTAAGACAACTAAATTTACAATCATGTGGCAGTAGAAATGTTAAAATTACAGTTCGTACACCTTGACAATCAAAATAGTCTGAAGTACAAAAAGTAAACTGCCCTTTAGCTGAATTACCTTTTTTTTTTTAAAACATTAGGCCTGCTAGTTAGAATATACACACAAAAAAGACAAGTTTCAGGTGTTCTTCAAATGCCTCTAGAGATGTCAGCTGATTGAACACAACAGCTGTGCGTGCCTACGACCCCCCTCCCTCCACCTCTCGGGACATCTGACAGAGCTCTCTCTATGGAAATGTCAACAGAACAAAAAACCGAAACTGTGAGGGGCTTCATTTCCGTTAGAGCGGGTGAGTGATTTCCCTTTGTTTCAGAGATGAGGCACAAACTTCTGAATTTAAGCTCTGTAAGGCATAGTACAAACCCCCAATTTACAAATAAGGAATTCTCTGTGCGAGGGTCCAGTCTGCCGCATCCCGAGCCAGGGAGATGGTCTGTAAACTGGCACACTGCAATGTATTTTGGGAGGGAGAGTGCAATGGATGGTCGCTCGTCTTGGGATGCTGAAGACGCATCTGTGTTTTGTGGTTTTCCTTTTCGTGTTTGAACAGGTCATGCCCAAGTCACCATGAAACTCGCCACCGGCCTCCGTCACCCAGAACATTAAGAATTTGAGTCCGGTAGCACACAGGCTTCTAACGTTTGCAATCACAAGAGAATAGAAAGCAGGAGTAAACTCTGTTTTTATACAAAACTGAAAAGAATCCCTTCCCACCCCTTGCCCCTTCAGTAAAACCCCAAAGAAACAAAAAAAGAAAATCCTTTAGCTTCAATTGACTAGTGTGGATACAATTCGGCTCCCAGGCCTCACTGCAGCTAGGGTGATCAATTTTTTCCATTCTCTAGAGAAGGGATCTTGTCATGCACCCTACAAGGAGCAGAGAAGCCACACACCTCAATTCTGCATAGCAATTCCTCCCCAGCTTCAGAAAGACAAATAAAACACTCTTTCCCTGTTGAACTCGGCTTCCGTGAGCTCTGAGATCAGGTTTTAATCAACTACATCTACTATAGCTTTATTAAATAGAATATCTTGTTTCCCTAAAACTATAACACTTATGAGCTTGTAATGAGGTTATCTCTATACACACTGTAGACCTTCAAATTTTGCTTCCCCCCGCCCCCCCCAAGCTGCACCAAATTTCAGATTGCCCTTCCAGGCATGCAGTGGTCTCTAGCTGTGAAAATATTTCCTTAGTGGATCACCATAGCTTCGAAAACTGCCTTTCTAATAAAGGCCACCAGAGAGGTAAAACGAAACTGCATTTGCCAAAGAAGAATATGAATTGTATAAAAGCTCATATTCCAATCCTAGGTCAAGTGGCAAAAGTTCTACAAAGTTGGTTTCCATGTTTGTATAAAATCTCCAGCTGATTGTATGTATTTTGCTATGAAATTACCTTTGGGTCTTATAATCAGTATACCTCTACTCAGGAATGTGCAAATGATTTTATACAGCACAATGCTAGTACCGCTCTGTACGTTAGTACGGTTTTTTTTTTTCTTTTCTAAATGGAAAAAAAAAATCCCTAGTCAGAAATAAACTGACAAATTTACATTCTCCTCTCTTAAAAAAGTAAATAAAATAACATTATTCAAAATGTGAATTAGCTATGAGACATACAATACAATTACATAGATACATTTATCAATACAGCACATTCAATCTGCCCCAAAATTAATGATTACAAAGCCAGTATGGATGCGGCAATACCAAGAGAGAGATGTATGTACAATGATGAGAGCATTCATAACTGCACTATGCCTGCTGGCTGTCTGTTTCTTAAATTACAGGTGCTTTCTGAGTAAGAAGAAAAACGAATTTGTGTTGCTTGAGCCTGGGAGAGAAAGAATGAGAACATTCCATTACTGCTAAGTCATTCTGGTTCCTATCTATTAAGCCATTAATTTTCTCTCTCGTTTATTGTTCCAAAAGAGTGATTCATATGGAAGTTTAGACTCTGCCAAATAGTGCTTAAAAACGAGACTATCATCCGAGTCTGACTCTAACTTCCCAGCATGTCTGAATCAGTCCTGATTTGTTAAATCACATTTCGCCTCAAACTGAAGCGATTTGTTAAATCAAGCTGCTTGACAGAAGTCCATCAATACATGTGCCGTGATTCTTCTTCTTTTTTTTTTTAACATTTGTTGAAAAATTGCATGTAAATAATTCCAAACATCTCTCTTAGTAGGTTCAGTGACATAAATACATGTTTTATAGAAAGAACACTGAGAGGTTACTCTGAAGTTCACAAATCTTCCTTGAGTTCAACTTAACCAGTTTTCAGGGTCAGAAGATTCCAAAGGTGGTGAACCAGCCGTAACCAGAGTTTTACAAATGAAAGGCATCAGAATACTATGAGGCAATGTTCCTGTCAGACCTAAATGACCTTACAGCACAGAGAAGAAGCATAGAACTGGCTTCAGATGAAGAGCGATAAGCATATTTCATGTTATATGACCCGGGACTGCCCATTTGGACACTCGACATGGAACATGGACACAAAACAATGTGCTCTGAAGGACAAAGAGAAGAACAGACCAGGAAAAATCAAATCTACGGTCACCAACTGTTTGGCAATTGGCGTTATCAGGTTCATTCTCAGCCAATGATTTTAGGCTTCACAGTCTAACTCTGTCATTGTAAGATACTGGCTTTTAGCTTGTGATTTTTTAAAAAATATTTTTATGTCTTTTATTTTTTAACAAAAAGCCAGTTTTGGCAACACATACCCATGATAAAAGTCGTTTTTAAAAATTGTGGCCCAAACACTAAGAAAAAACGGGAGGAAAAATTGAACCGAGGGGGAAAATGAACCACCTATTAAGAGAGAATGGGTAGCAGCCATTGGAATAATGTAGTGTCTTTTGGCATAATTTTTGGCATCTGTAATTGAAAGAAGAGATGGTGAGAAAAAGAACAAGAAGGAAAGGAGGGAGGGAGGACAGTGGCACGTGGCATTTCAAAATAAAGGACCCCCCATGTCTTGGCCCACTCTACTGACTTCAAACTCATTTCTCTGAGCAACTAGGTTATGGCTGAAAGTCGAAATCCCAAAGAAATGACACAAAACCATTAGATGGACATCTAATTGTGCCAACCCCATGTGAGGCAAGACAGTAGATGGACATATTCTAGAAAAAGTGGGTGTGCATCCAGAGCAATACATGGAAAACATGAATATGAATACTTAAGACTCTTTTGTCAAGAAGTAGAGGCGGTTAAATTAAGCTGATGACAATGGCTTAGATCAAATGATCTTCTCTTGAATGTATCATTCGAGAGAAAAACTTGACCGAGAACTAGGGGAGAGGCCCTTGTATACTGGAAAAAAATCTCAAGGAGGGGGTAGAGGTCAGGTAAAAGGGTAATCAGCTTTGCTCTGCTCAGAGAGAGAGAGAGAGAGAGAGAGAGAGAGAGAGAGAGAGAGAAGAGAGAAACAATTCTTATCTTTGTGAGTGCATGACTGAGAATTTAAAATACATTTGAGTCACAAGGTTTTGTTTCCCTCCTCCCCAAGACAGAGAGAGAGAGAGAGAGAGAGAGAGAGAGAGAGAGAGAGAGAGAAAGGGAGAGAGAGGGAGATAGATAGGGGAGAGAAAGAGACAGAGACAGAGGGAGAGAAAGAGAAAGAGAGAGAGAGAGGAAATGTGCTGGGATCTGTACTTCAGCTCCTGTTTTTCCTCTGAGTTTAAATAAAATCATAATATTTACTACAAACTCTGCGGACGCGCTCGCAGAGTTCAGGACGGCAATAAATTAGTATTATGCAAACTGTTTTCCACAGAACTGCAGCCCCTGTGCCCAGCTTCGGTGGCGCCGCGGGGCAGCGCGAGGAGGCACAGTCAGACCAGGTTGTACTCCTTCAGGTTCAGCTGCAGGATGGTGTCTTTCACGGCAGCAAAGACAAAGCGGATGTTCTCGGTGTCGGTGGCGCACGTGAAGTGGGAGTAGATGATTTTGTCACTGTCTGGGTTCAGGTCCACGAACATCTTCAGGATGAATTCCCGTGCGGCTTGGGCATCTCTCTGGGGTCCTGTGGGCCAAAGGGAGAAGAAGAAGGCTCCTTGGTCAGGGGGTCTGTTCATGTGCTGGCAGCCATCTGAGGTTTCTGGGTCAAGGTCTCTGGGGGTGGGACGATGAGGTTGGGGGTACCCACATCTCCTGACATGGTCCTGGGGCTTCGCTTTTCTGCATCACGTCCACGGGCCCGCCATTCACCCACCCACACAATGTGACTCTGTGAACCTGGCAGAGGGCTTGATGACCAGATTAGTCCCCTCCCCGCCAGTTCTCTGGGGTGACAGAGGTAAGCATGGTTCTGAGGCAGAGTTGCAATGTCCGGGAAGCATTTCTGCTGGACATAACTTGGCTGGCCTGAGCTGATGGTACTGGCTCCACCTACGTGGACACACATACAGAGGCTGAGGTGAGCCCTTAGGAGAACTGAATAGCTGTCTCTGGGACTCTCTCTGGAGAAATTTCCCCCACATCAGGACTGTCTGAATACTCACAGTGCCAGGCACCACGCTAGAATGCCCGCCCAGATCCCACATGCTACAGCTCACAGGGCCACCTCGTGAGAACCACTGGAGCTAAGAGAAACTGAGCACCGGGCTTGCGTTTCTGTCAAGAGTGAGAACCTGGGGTCCAGAGCAGAAGGCCTGGACCATAAAGTAGTGTTCTCTCCTCAGAGACGGGCAGAGGGGATGGTCACACAGCGCAAGGGAAAAGAAGGATAATCGACCGGTCGATCCAGAGTTGGTGTCTTTGCGGGAGCCACAGCACTCACTTACCGTCGTATTCTGGGAAGTAGTCAACGAGGTGGGAATACATGATTTTCTCTTCTAGAAGATCTTTCTTGTTTAAGAACAGAATGACAGAGGAATTCTGGAACCAGGGATATGTGATAATTGTTCTAAAGAGTGCCTTGCTTTCCTCCATCCGATTCTGCGAAATAGATACATAAATAAATAAATAAAAACAAGGCGTGAATTACAGGCTCACTCAAACTGTGAACTGACTTCATCCTGCAAGTCCAATTCAACTTATGTACCCACTGTCTGGAGCCTTGGGCTAGGTTCACAGCCCCGAGAAAAGTCTGTGTCAAATATCTCAAGACACACATTGGGCATTTCTATTCCACAAGCTCCCCATAGCAAGAAGAAGGTGAAGTAGAAGCACCTGCTGAAGTAATTTTAAGGTTAAGGGAAATTAAAATGCAGAGAAATCATAATGCATTGGGCAAAAAAATCTTAAGTTCCAACCAGCATTTATTCGTGATCAAATACCGAAGAACCAAAAGTCAGGCTTACCTTGGGTATTTCTTAAGCTGTGTGTATTTGGGAAAGTATTATAGGCCATACATTTCTTATTTATTGGAGTATATACTTTCTTTGGTTTCTTCTAGTCTTCAGACAGAATTGGGGAGACTAGGGTATGTGAAACGCTCCACCTCCAGCACGTGTGAAGGTTCTCAGCCCAAAACTATACCTTCATGCCAGCCTTGATAACCGACAACTTCCATCAGTTCTCAAGGAAATCTGCTTGTTAAGACAGAGATCCAGGCTACTTATTTCTGAGTCAAACCACTCTTAAAAAAGAGACCCTGAGACCGTGGGCCAGCTGTGTTGTTGCAGGAAAATAACTCACTTCATGCCTTCCCCAGGTCCTTCCTAAGCCATTACTGAGGCCTTAGTCATTGGAGTGCCAGGCTACTGAGCTGTTAGGGTCCCCTCAGCACCCGTGGGCAGCGCTGGGGTTGACATGTACCTTCCAGTCAAGAGCTTGAAGTCACAACGCCATTTCCTCAGCTCTGCTCACACGGATGACAAGCATCAATTCCCATCACCCATCACCCCATCCTGCTCACTGCAGGGCCAAGGTTAGGACTCTGCTCATGCCAGTGAGCCATCTTCTGGGCCCCCATACTCCTTTCCTGGGTGCCTTCCCCCTTCCCTATTTAGTTACAGGGGTTATGGTTGACTAAGCTTTGGGTAATGAACTGAAGTCTCCCACCTCCCCTCAGTGCAAAATGGGTTCCATGAGTTCCAGAAATTGCGCGTGGAGCGGTAAACCTTACTTTCATGAAAACCATAGACAAGAAATCACGGGCTTCCCAGAGCCACTTCAAAGGCTGAGGTTGTATGTGGCCAAACCAGGTTCAATTCCTGACACCCCATATGGTCCCCTGAACTCCACCAAGAGTGATCCTTCAGATCAGAGTTAGGAGTAAGCCCTGAGCACAGCCAGGTCACGGTCATGGTCCTCCCGCTGTTCATCGATTTGCTCGAGCGGGCCCTGTAACGTCTCCATCATGAGACTTGTTGTTACTGTGTTTGGCATATCGAATACATCACGGGGAGCTTGCCAGGCTCTGCCGTGCGGGCGAGATACTCTCGGTAGCTTGCCGGGCTCTCCGAGAGGGGCGGAGGAATCGGAAAACTCAGGTCGAGCACAGCCAGGTGTGGCCCCAAAACCAAACTAAAAAAACAACAGTGGTGGTGGTGGGGGGGACACCAAAAACCCAGTTCTACATGCCTGACTTTAACTTCTTGCTCAAACACACTGGAACTTGGTCTCTGGTATTTTAGATCACATCAGCCAACAGGTACCTATTTACATTCCCTGAGCTGTGTTTCTGTTTCTAACTGGCTAAAATGGTCCCCTTCGATCTACTCAGATGTACAAAGAGAAGAAACTGAATAATGTGTGAGGGAGAAGAGCAAGATTTGGGGGCCAACCTAGTAACACTGTCTGCTCAGATTTTTGCCTTCCTGTAGGACTTTTCCTTTTACCTCTCACAGGAAGTGACAAAGGTCAAGCCCATATCTCTCCGGAAACCCTGCCTGCTACTGTGAATTCTCTCCGAGAACTGCAATTCACCGAGGATGATTTCCTGGATTCTGAATATGCCTCACCCTGGTCTCTGTAAAGTGGGTTTCTCCGATTGAGGTGCAGAAGCTCACTTTTCAGAGAGAGCATCCTTGAATCTGGCCGGGCAACCTTCAGCAATGTCTTCGACATTCACACTATGCAGACAACTTCATAGACAGTGAAACACGGATGAGACTTGGGACCAATGGAATGACAGTTTACTTCATGGCTCAAGGGATATTTATCTTGCTGTATGTATCCCTGCCTCTTCTGTGCAAATGACAGGCACAGTTCTGAAAAAAGATATATTTGCTATTTATATATGCCTCTTACTAGCTATCATTGCCAGTGGTAACTATTAAGGCCTGGAGGCAAGAGTCACTGAGAAATGACATTGGGCAGTTTAGGATTTTATAGGCTGGGAACTTCAGAACTGAAGGAAAGCAAAGGCCCTAATAAGAGTGGAAAGAACTGGAAAAGAACCCAAAGGTTAGTCCCTCACTGGTGAGAGGATGGGAATCAGTGTTTTACTCTCAGGGAGCTATTTTTACTCTGGCTGTCTAGGGGGTGGGAGGCTGGATGGCCGGCACCCCTGGTCTGTGCTAGGAACAGCTGCCCATTCCCTGGAGGTTGGGAAAGGCCTTCCCAGGTACTCCCCAGTGTGGGGTAAGTTTCCTGTTAGATGTCTGAAAGAAAGTGGTCGGAGACTGAGAAGGGGCAGAGGGGAGTGCGTCTGGCTTCAGAAAAGGTGTCTGGGACGGCCCTGAGCGCCTTTCCAGACTGGACTGGCATCTGGGAGCATCGGACAGTGTCCACGGGCAGACTGCAGGGCAGCAGTCAGGAGGGGACAGAGTCCCGTGCTGTATTCCAGACAGGCCTGCCCATGGGGCTAGAGCCACGGTATGAGGCTCTACCACTGCACACAGCTGTACCTTGCACACAGCCAAACTGGGTTCCATCCCCAGCACCCCCTATCGTTCTGGAGCCCTGACAGGAGTGATCCCTGAGCACAGAGTCAGAAGTAACCTCTGAGCATCTCTGGGTTTCACCCAAAAACCAAATCAATCAATAAAAAGAAAAAATCATTATGTTGGAACCTCCTGATAAGGCATCTGCTCGCATCTCTCACCAAACTGTCCAGCTAGTAGCGATTCCCTGGACCCACACAACATGACTCTCTCCATGATTCCCCATCTAGGTGCCCGGCTTCTTCCGTCATAATCTCAAGTCAGATTAGCGGCTGGAGAGGGGTCATGCCTCTTTCTGTTCAGACATGATGTCTCATGGCCAAAGGCAATTGCTTTCACCAGCCCCACCTTCAAGACTTGCTAGATCACACTGTTAGATCCAAACGTGTTCTTTTATTCGAACTCCTTTCTCTCCAGTCTAGGTAACAGGGATGGGGGGGGGGGGCAGAGGAAAATGGAGGGAGGGGGGGATCCACGATTTTCCTCAAACTTTTGCCAGCTTTGCTCACGTAGTGTTTCTTTCTAAAGATCTTCCATACGCTAAAGGGGAATGAATATCTTCAAAACCTCCAAAAATGCTCCCTGGTCAATCCCACAGCTGGCCAAGAGGATGCTCTAAATGGACGGGGTGCACAGTGAAATGAACATAGCCCCCCGCCTCCTCCCTCCACACTCACATCGGGCTACAGGGACAGAAACGATAAGGTTGTTATTTCCGGACTCAGCCAGGCAGCGATTGCACCCTTCCATCATTTCCTTAGTCTTTGCAAATCTTTGCAAGTGGCTATTTGAAATCAAATTTGGCATAATCTCTAGGCTTGGGGACAGTTCCTGAGAGTTTTAATATGGTAATTTCTGTCTCTGTGTCAATGTATTCTGCCCGCTCAGGATGTTTAGAGAAGCCAAGAACATATTTGCCTGTTTCCACCAGGTCTAAGGCTGCAAAGCAGTGAGCTGTTGTCTAGCAGACAGACCCCTGTAAAGCAAACGGGGTTGACTCATTGGACGGGAGATGCGGGAGCACCGAGGGGTGACAAAGGGGTGGCAATACCTTGGACACTCAGTCTTGACACCTCAGTTCATATTGATTTTTTTCCCCCTGCTTTTGGGCCATACCTGGCAGTGCTCAGGGCCTACTTCCGGCAGGCTCAGGGAACCATCTGGGATGCCTTGGATCAAAATCCGGTTCAGCCACATGCAACGCCAGTACCCTACATGCTGCACTATTTCTCTGGCCCAGGCCAGTTTATACTGAGAACCACGACAAGAATGAAAGAAAAAACCATCCATGGAGAGCAACCCCTCCCCGACACGGAGGCCTGATAAAGCCAGACATGCCAGGGTTACATCATTTACTGTTTCCTACTATTTTAGTTCAGGCCAAGTAATCAAGTAGTAGTTTCCTTCCAAAGTGTATTTGATCAGGATATTGATCTTCCTGTTTACAGTGACCTTATGCTGCTATTATGCTAATTGTATGCTTCTGTGTAAAGAGTCAACGCTTACCAAGGATCTTTATGTTTAATTTACAGATGTACATGAAAATAAATTTTTATATGGAGCTCTTCCCTTTTCTTCTTGTATACATTGGGCTATACCTGGCGGTATAAACTCCTCACTTACCGAGCAAGGATTCAGTGGTTTTGTGTCTTGCGCATTTTTGCCAATAACTTTTATTTATTTATTTATTTTTAAATTTTATTTATTTATTTATTGCTTTTTTGGGTCACACCTGGCGATGCACAGCGGTTACTCCTGGCTTTGCACTCAGGAGTTACTCCTGGTGGTGCTCAGGGGACCATATGGGATGCTGGGAATCGAACCCAGGTCGGCCATGTGCAAGGCAAATGCCCTACCCACTGTACTATCTCTCTAGCCCCGCCACTAACTTTTAAACTCGGTATCTTCTCCCCGGGCTGGAGCGATAGCACAGCAGGTAGGGCGTCTGCCTCACACGCAGCCCACATGGCCGACCCGAGTTCGATTCCTCCGCCCCTCTCGGAGAGCCCGGCAAGCTACCGAGAGTATTCTATATGCCAGACACAGTAACAACAAAGTCTCCAATGGAGACGTTACTGGGCCCGCTCGAGCAAATCGATGATCAAC